AAAAACTTCTAAATTAAAAAGAAAGAATGGAAAAATCCTCACTTCACCACCAGCACCTTCACCAAAAGAGAGGAAGCTGACAACAGAAGATGGGGGAATGAAAAACAGAAACCTGAGCAAGAGCCTGGAGAGGGGCAATGAGTGCTGAGTGGGGAATCTGGACATCAGGGAGTTCGCCCTGACGATATGAGCGATAGAGCATGACCTCCCCTTCCCGCCTCTTCCGCTTCTCCTCCTCTTCCTCCTCCTGCTTTGCTCGTTTCCGCTTCTCCATCCTCATCCATATCCATTCATCCCTTCCCTTCCATCCTCTGTCCTCGTCCTTTTCTTCTCCAAGGTTCTTGACAAAACGCTTCTTAACACTTGTGACTTCTTCTTCTGTTTCAGCCCCTATGAAATGCCACAACTTTATGGAAAGCCTCTCTGGCAATTAGATATTAAGTCTCATGAGAATCAACTAACTGGAATTGAGCTTTCGTTTGGTTCCCTGTGAGGATGGTGTTGAGTGAAGTGAAAAGAGCAGCATGGTTTCAGGTGTCCTTTCATATGCTGCTTCTGGAACCACAGTGCTCTGGCTCACCCAACTGAATGCACCTTCTCCTACTGTGGCGATAGCACACATCTTACAAAATCCAATGGTAAAAAACAAACTTAAAGAAAAATTAAATGAATTTGAGACTCATACTGTGCCTGGTAACCTTTATCAAACAAAAGGGATAACTGTTGTCGGTGTCTTACATGAAAAGGTACCGGTTTTTACCATGTTTACGACATAGTGTTGAAATACCCTTTTACAAGACTATGATTCAAGTATTATATTTATTAACGAGGTAACAGTTGTCAAATAAAAATCTTCAATTACACCACTCAGCTAATGAGTGTTTACAAGCTGAACAGATAAAATCAAACTGCCAGCACTTACGTAGTGGATTTAAATCTGTACAATAAAGGTTACTGGAGGTCACTCCCTCCCCCGTTACTTTGATTAGAGAAGGTGGCAAAGATTTTGGGAAAGGAAGGGACCTGATGTAAAACCAATTCTTAGCAATATCAGGGACATTAGCACATTCCCACAAGAATAATGCAGGTTTTCGATCATTTAGAATCTGCCTCCATGCAATACTTGAACAACAAGTGCTTGGTGGCACATGAAAAATTATTTTTGTTTAAAAGGGGTCCAAACTAAGAGGTGTGATAGAAACTCCAACAAAGTTGGGAAACAAGAGGGAAGTGAAAGGAAAAGGAAAGATCTGATTACCTTGTGTCATGGTTTGAAGGAACTGAGGTTGCTGAGTGGCTCGAACCCTAGGTTGGCCAGGAATGATGTCTTCCATCTGATGATACTGTTCCTGACTCCCAATAAACAAAGGTGTGAGAGATGCATGCCTTTGTCTCCATGATGTATCAACACCATACTCCTGCAAGGGTAACCTTGTTGTTCATGCCCTGGCATCATATATGGCAGAAGACCATTCCAAATTAACTTTAAAAGCAAGACAAGTGAGCTGATCATTCCTTGCTGTGAGGCAGAGCATCCTGCATCCCCTATCTGTTATCTCATCTTCTCACAAAGAATCTCAGAATTTCACTAAGCACACCTACATGTACATCATTTTCTCTGGGGTGTATGGTAGTACAGAAAATGTGACCATGTCAAAATGAAGATTTGGGATTAGCTACAACATATGCAATAAACACATGACTTTTGGACAACCACAATGAGTAAAACGATGCTGATACAGTTGTTTTGAACTAATGAAGATGCTGTCACAGAAGCCCATGTTTAATTTCAGCTTGGATGCTGATTTTTTGGTTTCCCATAGTCCCTTACCATAATGAGAAGTATTTAAGAAATTGGCAAGGTTATTGACATTTCCTCACTAAAAATTGATGACTACATGAATATCCATATATGACAGACTTCTGGCATATGGCATATAGCAGTCTCATATGAATGCAAATATTGATTTTCCCTGTTTACTTATCTACACCTGTCAGCATACAAAGGTTCAAGAAACCTGAAATAAAAGTTTTCTTTAAACAAGATGGACAGAATGACAGAATCAGCAAAAAAACCTCAAACATTCCGACTAGGGTGTGGCACCTTGTGAATAGATCCACCTCAATATACCCATAAACTACCCATCTTTCTTTCCATTCATCTTAGTTCAGGAGACAGCCATTTAAATGCAAATTTTTTGCAGGAGCCTGAAGTAGTCAACAAAACATTTAATATTCAGCAAAAAGCAAAATTGAGGATGAGGGTAAGACAAACCTGGAAGATGCATTCAGAAAGGGGTTCCCGAAACAGGGGGCCTTGATAGTCGGGGCTACGAGAACTCGTCTCCAGAAGGAGATAAGTGGCATGAGAGAGGAAGGTACTCTCCGTTGCAGGGGAGTACAACTTTGACAGGAGATCTAGGGTACGGGCATCTGTTGGCACTGATAGATGTTCCTCTCTGGACCAAAAGTTAAGGATCTCCTGTTGCAGTGCTGGCTCTGGGTCCTCTAGTGCCTCCAGGAGGAGTTCCTTCACTTTCAATACTATTCCTTTCCCACATTCATCTCCTGTCTCTCTTACCCTGTGGAAAGATCAGCCTTTCTTAACCATGATATGGAGAAAGGCAACTGTTCAATGCAGATTTTAAATATTCTCTCAAATCATTTATTTCAAGAGC